GAATAATACATATGAAAATGATTCTAAATTCAATTAAAAAAAATTATATGTGAGATTTTATAGGGATGAGTATTTTGTTGACTAATTTTACTGGACAATCGCCTCACTTTTACAGTATTTAAGTGTTAAGGTAACTGGTAGGATATTAAATTCTTGGAAAATTTATAGCTATGACCTTGCTACACACACATTCGTCAAATCCATTTTTTGTAGCTATGATGTTTAAACCATTTCTCTAAATTTGAGTGCTTACGCCCTCTCTTTTGTAAGTATGTTTGTCGCATTCCTAATAAAACGGTATGATTTTCTTTTCAAAAAATTTAAAAAAAAATTCTAGGTGGTGGTTAATATAGATAATTATTCTATCTTATATATTCATGATCACCTCATTCTTTAATCAACGTGGTACTTTGTTTACAACTCTTTTTACAAACTTGAGTTTGGACCAATTCCTTTTAAGCTTTTTATTATTTATATGGGCTCCTATGGATGACTAGATCAACTATAATTTCAAATGGTGATATAACTCAAATTTACCAACTTTAGTAATCCTCATCTAAATGTTATGTATCAACATTGCTGATTCTAACACATGCCCTTGGTACGGCTCACACGGTTGGCGATACGTTATAGGAAAATCTCTAGTGGGAGTAAGTATACAACTTATACACCAATATTATTAAAAATGACGTGGGATGACATTTTTATAAAGAAAAATTGTGGTGGTCTACTCCCATACTTGAAAATTTTCCGCAAATCGTCCATCTATCTTCATGCTAATCGTGTAAATGCATTGTGTACTTTGGACCTGTACTCACACAGATTTACTCGCTAGTTCCTACAAGGTAGAGACGATATGAAATCGAATCATAAATTTTTCTTCATTTTGCCGCATTTCGCTCGAAATAGAGCAACATCATGCCAGCATAGTGGAGCAATCTCAGAGAGCATGAAGAGACGAGGGTAAACAGCACTGGCATGGTGTGGCCACGCTCGCTTAAATGGACATTTAATGGATTGGTTGGGCTTATTACCAAATTGAGCACGTACTATTTGGGCTACTTTAAGATTTCAGTAATCACAAGCAGTTGTACTATATTAGAAATGAAAAAAAAAAAATAAAGAAGAAGAAGAAAGTAACCTAGGATCCGTTCGGTAAGGTTTCTGTTTCATATTCCTTATTTCCTACAAGAATTTTTGAGATTACAAAATCGTYGCAAAACATAATAATTTCATTGGAAAGCAGTATTTCCAACAATTTTTTTCGTTGCAAGGATCATGTCGCGAAAGGTGTGGCGATGAAATTTCTGTTTCTCATTCAACATATTTGGTAATCTATAAAATTTGAGAAAGTTTAAAAAAAAGGGTTAAATTTTGAAAATTACAGAAATAGTTTTGTTTTTCTTTGTTTCTATTTCTTGGTTTTAGAATAAGTAATATATATTAAGTTTTATTAGTTCATAAATAGATATTCAACAAGTTGCTAAATAGTAATTCCTTTTTATATTCCTTATTTTTTATAAAATAATTTTTTATATGAATAAAATTTATAGTTGCTAAACATTAATTCTTTTTTATCTTTTATCTTTTCTTTTTATAAAATATTTTATATTTTTTAAATTAAAAATATTTTGAAAAATTATTCTTTATTTAAATATAATAATTTAAACTTATATATTAATAAAATTTATATACATGCACTTGAAAGCCCAATCTAGCCTCAAGGTCCATGGTTCCAATGCCATATCTAATTTTCTAATTTCCTTTTTAATAAAATATTCTTTATTTTTTAAATTTTTAAATTTCCTTCTTTATTTAAAGCTAATATTTTAGACTTTTACATCAAAGAAATTTATATTATAAATTATATTTTTTCTTTGATGAATTATATTCYTCGAGTATATGTTATTTTTATATATCATACCTACTAAATCTTTTGTAAACTATCAATAAAAATAAGTCGTTATAGCAAATATCCTCATCAAAGAGTCGTGAGTTCAAATTCTCACCTCCACAAATTGTTGAAGTAGAAAAACAAAAAATATAAACAAGAAACAATAAAGAATTATTAAACATATATTTTAGTTTCTATTTAAAAAGAAAAAAAGAAACTTTATATTTTTAATTTTAAAAAAATTAGAAACAGGAAGTGAAAAATGAAAAAGAAAAAGAGAACAAAAACGTTGCCAAAGACACCGTTGATGAGTTGAGGTAGATATCCCAACTGATTTTGTCTCTAAAGTAAACCCCACACAAAAACCTTTTGTTTGTGGGAGTTGGA